CATCAGCGGATGACATGGCACAAACACCAATGTGTCAGTGATGAAGGGAGAAGAGGGGAAAGGAGAAAAGGAGGAAAAGAGTTTGAGGGGGGAGCAGTGGTACTCCCCTGAGATAGCCTCCAACAGAAACTAGTTGTTCCTGGCGAGTTTATCCTCATCATTATATTCTGGCTCGGAGCCATGCAGCCAGACACAGCCAGATAATGAGCTGCTTTAACAGCAACAAAAAAAAAAAAGAATTATTTCTTTTTTTTTTCCACTTCTCCTTCATCCTTCTTTTTCCTTTTAAATTTGTGTGTGGTCACGTGGAAGCGAATCCTTTAAACGTACACATGCAGATATACATGCTCAGATAATTAATGTCGCGCGCACACAGCGTGGCTCCGTCTCATAGCCCATCTCTGGTCATTGGAACTGTTCCTTAAATAAGGCTTTCTGGCCTCCACACGTGGAACAGTGGGAGATTATGAAACGACGATAGGAGTGAAGAGCAGTGAGAAATAAAATGTCAGTGATGCTGACAGTGCTGAAGCTGCAGAAAAGAGAAGGAAGCAAATAAGGACCCAAAATTTGGAGTGATAGCTGGACAGTTTCGCCTACTTGGCATATTTATTTTTCTTGACAAGAAAACTAAAACTAGGCCACTTCTTTTCAGTTTAGTTAGTTGACAGTAACCAGAAGATTACGTAATTGACAACAATTTAGGTTTTTAAGAATCTGCCGCCCTACTCTTTGTTAATTACAAATACAGAAAGTGGCTAAAGTTACCTTTTTTATATCAGAGAAACATTTAAAGGCAAATCACAAGACATGAATTTGTCAAACTGTTACTTCCTCAAGACGTATTAAAACCATGACAAACATCAAACCAATATGTAGGTTGTGTATATATATATGTGTATATTTGTTGTAAACCTGTATGTATGTTGATAGTTTAAATAAAACCATTAATATTGATTTTAAGATGTTAAAGCAAGAACACATTAGGTCCTTGTCTTCTGCATGTTGTGCTTTTATTTTGAAATTTTACCAGATTTGATGACTGCTGTCAGAATCTTCTGCCATATGCTTATGTAAAATGTGTAATCATCCAGGCTGAATTTTGTGTCCAATTTAGATTGTGTAACAGATGCCTAACGTCCCTTGAAGGAGTGCATATCTCCCACCGCCCTTCATTCCAAACTTTTAAACTACGACCATTTAATGCTCAGAAATAATGGCGTTACAGCCATTTTGCTTAAATTTTATTAAAAGCATTAAGCTTAATCTTATGCAATATTGCTCAATATTAAGCCTTGGAGTATGAGTTGTGCCAAACTTTAGCTCGCTATCTTATAGCCATTTTCGCTAAGAGTGCTTTGCTGCAGCGGCCATCTTGAATTGGACTAACTTCAAATAAATTGTAGATGTCAACCAAGTAATTATTATTTCTGGAAGTTTCAATAAAATAAATTCAGTGATTCATGAGGCCTTTTTTGAACAGACAAAACCACGCACACACGTGCGGAAACATCAAGGCGTCACCTTCAGCGGCGGGCGATTTAAAAAAAAAATCTGTCACAAATGGTTATGACTGACACCGAATTCAGCCTTGGACATTTTTCAGTTATTTTTATTTATTTTTTTTGTGTGTAAACGTGTTGTCATTCTTGTAACTGAAAGCCAAATCCATTTAAAAGCAGTAACAAAGTTGTATATTTATACATGGAAAAGGATACAAATGGAATTTGGCTGCAGTTGCTAAGTGTTGTTTGTGCTCCATCTTCTCATTTCACCCGTGTCCATTCTGACGATTTACACAGTCTTCTGTCCTCAAGGTTCCCCCCACACATGGTGCCCCCCCACCACAGTTTGCACACCACGGGCATCCCTCACCCGGCCATCGTCACACCCAACGTCAAGCAGGAATCCTCCCACAGCGACATCAGCTCTCTCAACAGCTCGTGAGTAAAACCTCTTTGTGGCCTAAACTCAACTTTTTTTGTCAGTCTGAAGACATTTTTTTGGTTCATCTGTCTCATCATGCCACTCTTTCCCCACCATCCCCCGCCACAGGAAACAGACAGATGCTAAAAAGGAAGAGGAGAAAAAGAAGCAGGTCCACATAAAGAAGCCTCTGAACGCCTTCATGCTCTACATGAAGGAGATGAGGGCCAAGGTGGTGGCCGAGTGCACGCTGAAAGAGAGCGCCGCCATCAACCAGATCCTGGGGCGGAGGGTGAGTACAAAGTCGGACTGAACCGCTCCGCTGACTCGAGCGCAGCTTTGCCTCGAATCGTACCTGAAACTCAAAAGGGATTGTGGTTCAAGTCCTGAGCTGCTTCTCGTCTCACAGTGGCACGCCCTATCGCGAGAGGAGCAGGCCAAGTACTACGAGCTGGCCAGGAAAGAACGACAGCTCCACATGCAGCTGTACCCTGGCTGGTCAGCACGAGACAACTATGTAAGTTTTTAAGTTTACAAGTTGTAACGGCCTCTTCTTTCCCCCTTTTGTTGGTCTTAGACATACAGGTGGTCCAAGGGGTTAGAGTCTTCTGAAACGTACATCTGAGCCTTTATCATGACTTGCCTCTTCTCGATACAAGACAGTTATATATAACGAAGCTTGATGCATGTGGGTGTACATTGGTATTCAGATATCACACAAAGTTTTGGTACTTTAGGAGAGTCAGTCCATGAACGACACCGAACTCTTCCATGAATGTGCTTTAGTTAGCCCTTTCTGGTATTTTCACTTTGCTTGTTTCAGTAGCTTTACAGATTTGTACTCCTTTTCATCACTAGCTGCGTTTCCATTGGCCACGAAAATGCGCAAATTAGAATTTCGTAAACAAATTTGCTCAATGGAAACACGTCAATTTCGACAAAACTTACGTTTTTTGACAAAATGGTTTTGCTCTAGGATGAGGTGGGTTTTTTTTTTGGCCGTATCGGAATTGGTGTGTTTCGCAAAACTGAAATGGAAACACTTTTTTCGCATCATGGGAGTCACGTGATCAAGAACCGGCTGTTTCTACTGACGAAAAAGATGACAACAGGAAATAGTAGTAGTAAAATCACCTAAGTTGTAAAAGAAAGTAGTAAACTCACTGACTACAACGTCCCAGAAACGTAGCATACGTAGCCGCTCCCAAGTATAAGAAGCTTGTCGCTGGAAAGCGACGTCTCCTCTGATGGCTGATGATGAGCGCTAGTGTCGTGGTAGCAATATGCTTTGTGTTTACATCCACTGCCTCCATGTTTGTAATGACTTATCAAAGAACAAACATATTCACGCGTGACTTTAATAGCATTTCTTACTTAATGGAAACACTGCAATTGTGAAACTGTGTTTTTCGACATTAACAGAATATTAACAAAGTTTTGCGCACATTTGCRATGGAAACGCAGCTAATAACTGGACTGTTGCCCCTTCAGGGACGATTAAATTGACGTGATTTGTTTTAAAAAGCTCCACGTGGCCGTGTGATTAGGCTTTTCTGTGTAGTTCTGATGCATTTTGGTGAATCTTTAGACACAGAAAAGCTCTTGCTTTTAGGATTGATGCTGCTTCCACCTCAAGGAATTCGTAGCCAAAGGGATCAGAACAAACTTCTTGTTTCCAGTTAAACTGAAGTTCGCATCATGTAGGGAAGACATCTTTGATCTCTTCTCGTTTTTGTCTATAAAGCTTTGATATCATTATTTATMAAATGGATTGTCCACAAGATTTTTATCATGCTTTTCGAAATTTGGTTAATAGCATGTTTAGCGTGTACACATCCAATGGTTTTTCCCACTTGTATTCCTACTTCTTGTTGTTAAAAATAAGTCACATATCTCTTATATTAGATTAAATCAAAAGTTCTTAATCTGAGACTGTATAAACAATGTTTAATGGCCTAAAAATGTGTTTGAATCAAATATATTTAGCGATGAATGTTTTGCATCCTGGACCCTTTGTTCTGACGCACAAAGAGCTCCGGTTTTTGAAGCTGACCACAGGAGTCTTTGTGGAGTAGCCGCAGAGAAATCCATGTTTCAAAGCAGAAGTGTGTCAGAATGTCTACATGTTAGCAGAGGAAAATAAAAATAAAAGAATGCAGAGACGAGCGCAGAAAGAGACAGAAAACAGCGAGAGGAGGGAGAGTTGTTGTCTGGACTGCAGTGGCTGTTACAAACCGGAGGGCAAACACAAGAGGAGGAGGAAAAAAAACAAACAAAAAAAAGAAACAAGACAGAGAAAGAGGAGTGAAATGAATAAATAAGTAAACACAAAGATGAGTCCTATTCTCTGTTTCATGTTTTGGGCATTCTTGCTATATAATAACTAAGGTTCCTGTCTGTGTCTATTTTATTTTTCTTTCTATTTTTTTGGCGGCTAACCAACAGGGGAAAAGGAAGAAGAGAAAAAGGGAAAAGCAGCAAGCAGAGAGCAATGGTAAGTGAGCTGCAATTATCTCTTATATTAGAAGAGCCCCATCATGTGTCAGGCAGATGTGACATCTCGCAAGATAAAAGTCAAGCTTGTATTTTTTTTCTTTTTGTGTTGTTTTTCTTTTTTTATATATATATTGTGCCTGGCTTTTTTTATTTTTTGGTATAGTTATGCTACCAAATGCAATGTTTAAATGGTAGAGTTGCTTGTAACCCCCTCCTTTCTCCCATTTTCCATAGATGTCCCTAGCTAATAATAACTGAATATGCATGACCCCCCACAGTCCCTCTCACCCTCCTCGCTCGGGCTYTTAGCCCCCTGGTATTTTGATACGTGTTTTTAAGAAGTTGAAGCATTGTGAAAACCATTAACTTTGGCAGTGTTGTGTGTGTACCCCTGTTTTATATTGCCTGTGCCCTGCAGATCGCCTGCAGTATTGTAATGAGTGTGTGTGTGCATGTGACTGTGCATGTGTGTGCTAGTTAGGCAACCCCCTTTGCTTGCTTCTATGCATGCTTTTATTCAGAACAAAAAAAATCACTCACATCTCAAAATTAAGGAGGTTTGCTAATTCTGTGATTTATCCATTCATATATATTTTATTCCCATGATTCATATTCTTCTGATCATAATGTGAGGCGCTGTGCCGACTTGTTGTTTGTGTATTTTTACGCTCGTTTTTTGGTGACGGATTTCTTCTTGAAGGCCTCTCTATCTGTTCTTTTTTTTTTCAGAACACAGAGAATATTTTCCAAACCCTTGCCTTTCACTCCCTCCGATTACAGGTGCTAATGTCATTTTGAGTATTAAATTACTAACTGTTTCTCTTTTTAAAAGAAATGCATATGTAATTACCCATAATTGTGCACTCTATCTATGAGGCAGGTTTACTTTATTATTATTATTATTATTATTATTATTATTATTATTATTATTATTATTATTATTATTATTATTTCATTCTGATGATCTTTTTGCTTTGTTTGCTGTTTTCTTTTCTTAAAGTGTCGCTTTTGTTTATTTGACTTCAAGCTAAGCTACATTTCTCTTTAATTTACTGTCGCTTCTTGGTTCAGAGCATTTCCATATTTTGTCAAAATCTCAACGCAGTGTGCTTGAGGGACTGATGATATAAAGTTAACTTGTTCTTGTAACGGAAACGGTGTTATGTCAGGGTAAACCTCCTTAATCTAAAACTGTCGGTAGCGGCGCTTGTGCCTTTCCTACAGGCCAGCATGAGTTTGGCCTTGACTCCCTTTTTCTTAATAAAATGTTTCCACTTAGTTCATGTAATTTTTGGTCTTTCAGTTTTTACTTTGTTAACAGAGATTAAAAAACAAAAAATGGATGTTCTGTTTTCATTTTATACTCCAAAAACAGGGAAAAAGGTCCCATTTTATTTTTGTCAGACCGGAAATTGAACACAGTCGTTTCCAGACCATTTTAAGTGGAGCTGGTTAAATATCATTAACTGGTTAGCTAACAAATTTTGCATTTCTTTAACTATCTGTAGACTGTATTTTTTTATTAATATAACTAGTCTAGCTCATTTCTTTTTAAAAACACAATTTMTCTAGTGCTGTTTTAGTGTCTGATAATGGGATGAATAAACCCGCATTACTGTCTAAGCTAAAAGCTAGCTAACTAGTTAGCCTGCTGATAGTTTTTATATCACTGATGATTCAAACTGTTTCCTTAAGCTTAGTATTAAGCTAGTGAAAGTGTTAAACTTTCAGTTTGACCAAAATAAAAAGATGAACCGATTCCCGTTTCTGGAATATAACATGAAAACAGAATAACGTTTTTTTCCCCCAGTTTTWAATTTTTTAAAAATAAAAAAACAAATGACCAAAGATACACGGACCATACTTTAACAAGGCCTGGACTCAAACACTGTATCCTGCTGTCACTCTGCTTTATTTCCGATATCATAAATAAAACTGAGTTTAGCATGAAACTGACTGACTGGCAGCTGACAGAAATACAACCACCTGTTTGATGCCAGGTCTTCAAACTGAATTCCAACCTTTTAATCCCCCCCCCCCCCCAGCTTTAGGACTAAGTTCTGCTGTTTYAGCAATCTGCTACCACTGCCTAGTTTGCTACCTTGACCCTTTTAATTTCGAAGCCATAGTGGACTGATGGCGTCTAACAGCAAGTTAACCTAATCTGCTCCGTTTAAATCCTTTCAACCAGATAAGAACTTGCTGACACTCTTCTTTAACTCCTGTCAGAGTTTAGATCACGTGAATGAAAGTGATTGTTACCGCATTAATCTCGTAATCTGATAATTTGCATGCGTTTGGGTTTTTACTCATTTCCAGTTCAGTATCAGTTGGTCCGTCTTTACATGCACATTTGATCATGTCTGTGAGGGCGTTAAAGGGATTTCCCTCTCCGAGCCACTGCTAAGCTTCGTAGATTCACATTTATCTGTTTTATTTTCTTCTATTGTTTGACTTTCTTATTTTACTGGTTCTATTCCTCCTCTCTGCTGGCTTCTCTTCCTTGTTGCGGCGTCAGACCTGAGCGCTCCTAAGAAGTGTCGAGCGCGCTTTGGGCTCGACCAACAGAATAACTGGTGTGGCCCGTGCAGGTGTGTATGGTGTGCGCCTGCACTGGCCGGGGCCAGGTGAAGGCTGGGTAAAACTTTACGCTGGGACTTCCTCCTCCGCTCTGTGCTGCTTTCCTTCCTCCTCCCCTCCCTTTGTCTGTCTCGCCAGGCTGTTGTGACCTCTCAGCTTCCTCCAGCCACGTCCTGCCGGTCTGTCTCTGGGGTTCTCGCTGATTTGATTTTAACTTCCTGTTGGGGCGGGGGATAAGGATATTAACAGCATACGCCAGAGTGTTTGTGGGAATGACTGGTGTGCTTGAACGAGTGTGTGGATAAATAAGCAATGGTTTCATTGCAGGACGCACAATAAGCCTCTCTAAGATTGGTCAGAAGTGTTAAACTGGCAGGTCGGGGCTTGGAGAGTCTGGAGTCTGACGGCTTGGCTAATATTGGAGGTTATCCTAGTGTTGCCAGCCTAAATCTAAGCCCTGGCTACTATGTTTTTGTCTGTGCAATGACGTGTACATTTTCTTTTTTTTTTTGTCCCCCCCTTTTTTTTTCTTTTATTTTTTTTGTCTATATGTTTGTGTCTACCTCTTTGGCTAACAGATGCAAATACCCCAAAGAAGTGTCGTGCCTTGTTCGGGCTTGACCAGCTGAGTTTATGGTGCAAACCATGCAGGTATAAAAACTGCTGTAGTACCAATCAAAGGAAAGACATCCTCCATACTGAGCTGTTTCCTCTTTGATTATTGGCTCCATCAATGTGCTGACAGATGGAAAACTCTCTCTCTTTTTTTTATTTTCCTCACTGAAAAATTTCCTGCTCCTCTAAATTTCCTGCACAACGATTTTATTTCTCAAACTCAGTTCAAGCCCAATGGCAGAAAATGGATTTCTGAAACCAACTTTTTTTAAGAAGAAAGATCACCAGTCCCTGTGTAATTTGGAAATATTTCATGCTGAATACTTTTTTAAAGCTGAAATCCATTTTCTGTCCAAGCATTTGATAATCCCCTTTTATCTTAACTGTCAATGTTTGTTCTAATTGGCAATGTAATGCTTACAAATTTAGCCCTGCTTCCTCTGAGGGCCTGTTCAGTGACACTCTTTTCTGTGCCCTCTTCCTCCTCCTTCTCCACCTCTTCCTCCTCTTCAATAACCCTTACTTAGTCCCTACCTGTTGTCTTTCTGTTCTGACACAAGCAGTCTTTGAATTGGGAATATTTTCATGGTAGGTATTTGTTTCTGCTAAATAAAACCCTTCTCTGTGTCTGCCTTCCATCACAATCACCCCAACCCATTTCTGCTGTTTCATCTGAATGGTTTTAGACATACTCATGGATGGGCTAAAGATCACATTAGGGGGTTCTATAATTTTTATTTATTTTTGTATTTTTCATGCACTCGATAACTAAAAAGAACTGAAGAGATCGCGCTTCCTCCACACAGTCCGCCATCTCCACTGGGTCCTCTTATTTCCCTTCCAGCTGACTCAAACATGATCCAAAATATGGCTTTATTTCCTAAAGAATCATAGCCATCATGAAGATCAAACGATAGGAAAGTGCTATAATTCAGTCAGAGAGGTTAAAAGTTCTCTCTGGGCTCCGTTTCCTAAAAGATGCATCTGGTGTAATTTCCCCCGAGACAGAGAATCAATAGCATACACGGGCACATACTATAAATCAATATGTCTGTTAAAAAATGGATATTAGCTCATTTGTTGGAGCTTGACGGACAGTTACAGAGCCAGTGATGCGTATGTAGAAGCAAAACAATGTCTTTTTTTTGTTCCTGGTCGATGCTCTGCCCCGTCCGGACGCTTACAGCATCCACACAGACTGATCTTAAAAGCCTATCCTCACTTTTTTTTTCTTGAATTGTTGAGTTCATCAGAAATGCATGCCTGTCATTCACCCAGCATGTGATCAAGGTTTTGTTGGCATCCTTCTCCTTTTYCCCCCCATTCTCAACACATGCTCTCTGCATTTATGGGATTTAATTCTTTAGAATTACAGGGAAAGGTTCAAGGGAGCAGCATTTTGCTGTTTTTGTTTCCACCTTTGGACAGCTCACTTTAGTAAAAACAGTGATGTCATAGTCCCACCTCCTCCTAACCTGCCACGCTGAGAGTTACAGGTGTAACAATGACAGGTTACTTGCTGAAGTTTTTGCTGCAGATGCAAACCTTTGTATACTGTATTACTTTAATGAGCAACAGCTTTGCCTTGAATTGAGCAGCACAACCCCCCCCCCTCCATATTATTGCAGCAAATACTCTAAGATCAAAAATTATTTTATCACTTTAATGAACTGTAAATGATGCAAAAATGTAGCCRCAACTTCCAGTCATTAGTAGTTTAATTCTGTAATTTGTTTCAAAAACTTTTCTTGAACTAATGCCATGTTTATGACAAATAAAATATTGTTTTAGATGTTTCAGAGTGGACAAAACCTATAATTCACAAAACATGTCAGCGTCTTGTTTTTACCTTCTACATCACACTGGTAAGGCTTAAAACCAAAACAAAAMAAAACAAAAAAAAAACATGGCTTCTGGCTTAGTTGTGGTAGAACTGAGAGCTGAGGGAGTGGGGGGCGGGGTCACCGTCAGKGTCAGCGTAAAGATGAAGTGGGCAGAGATTCCCCCCTTAACCAAATCCGAACACGGTGTTCACAGCAGAAGTCACTGCAGATAAATGCAGCCAAACTCCCCCTCAATCCGCTGCTTCATTCATCGCTTTCCACAGAGCACAACTGGCCTGGCCTCAGGACCTGGCGTGCGGGGTGGGGGAGGGGAGGGGGGTTCGACCCGAGGCGGCGATGTAAACAYGATGCCTTGACCCCTGATGCAAACKTTACACTTGTGTCTGTGGGGCAGATGTATTGTTGGGCTGAGCTGGAACTAAAAGAGTCCCACCTGAAGTTTCTTCCTTCATTTACAGAGAGGTTTAAATTCAGAGAGCAAACCCCACCAYGTCTGTTCTCTTCTGTCTGTGTGCATTTCATCCCCCTCCTGCTTCCTGTTCAGGTGCTCCACCTGTGATCTCTCTGTAACGTCTCTTCAATCTGACGGCGTAGTGTCTTTACCGCATCTCTCCCCTTTGCACAAGATTTGCAACGCTACCTAAATGCACCTTTTCGTCCCGATTGGCTTGTTTTTGGGGTTTTTTTGTTTGTTTTTTATTCAAAAAGGCAAAAAGGTGCATTTAAGTCRGCGTCAGTGCCGAAAGAGTTTCGCAGGGTTGACGCTGAAAGCTGCTCTCTCTCGCCTTGTCCCCCAGGAGGAAAAAAAAGTGCATTCGCTACATCCAAGGTGAAGGCAGCTGTGCCAGTCCTCCCTCTACGGACGGAAGCTTACTAGACTCCCCCCCATCCTCTCCCTCCTCCGTCGCTCCCTCCCCATCCTCGAAAGAGTCCAAACCTCAGACTGAACAAATGCAACCTCTCTCACTGACTATGAAACCGGCCCACCAGCCACTCCACCACCCGCACCTCCTGGCTGGGCCCCCACCGTCATCTTTGGTTCAGATGGAAAACGCGGCGGCGGCGGCCGGCAAAGCGCCCGGCGCCTCCTCCCACAACGGCGCTCTGGAGCGCGGCGACGTCTCATCCTTACGGCAGCCGGGCTCCTCGATGGCCCGGTCATCGGCATCGCTGTGTCATTCCCACTCRCTCCTCCCCTCCACAGCCCCCCAGCCTCTGTCGCTAGTGACCAAGTCTATAGAATAGCATTTTTTTTTTAGCTCTACTCACTCTTCAATGCCCTGTTTCTGCTATATCTCACTTGCTGTCAGTTTCTCTTTATGTTTCTGTGCCTACGAGGCTTTGAAATTTTTAGTTGTTTTATTAAAGTTCATTGGTCAATATTTGACCCCTCGTTATAAAAAAAATTAATTATTATAAAGAAATGATACAAGGAGCTGTAGTATAGCTTTGTGAATCTGCCAAAATTTTTAAGACTTTTGTTTTGTCTTCTTTTGTAGTGTTAAACAGTGCAAACAAAACAAAAATGTATCTAGCTCAACTTCGAAATGTTTAAAAGACGGATATAAAAAGAAAAAAAAAGGTAGATTATTCAGCGAGCCCTTTTTTCCCACCCTTGAAAGAGTTGGTTCTCCTTCTTTATTTGTATTAAATACGAGCTTGCGAACCAATCGTTCACCATCCGTTCAGACTCTTGGAGGGCGTGAGGCTTGTGGCGACACCTCTGAGGAACAACTTTAATTGTGATGTTACTTGTTCTTGTTTAAATGTACAGAATATCGGGGAGGGAGGGGAATTAATGTGTTAAATATGCATTCTTCCACTGCGTTGTCTTCTTTTTATTTTYGTTTGTTTCGTTTACCTTTTTGGGGTGGAGTCAGGCAAGTTTGGGTGGGCTCGAGGGAGGGTTGGGTGGGGAGGGTTCGAGGGTTATAAAATTCAAAAATGTCACAACGCTAGGACCAGTAGTATTTATTGCTTTAGAGATTGCTTGTCGTATCTTGTATGTGTCTCTTTTTGACCTTTTTTTTCCTCCTCTTGATACATTGTACAAATATTTTTTCTTAAGGTAAAAAAAAAAACTATATGAACGATCCATTTTTACAAAGGAGGTTTTGAAAAGCAAAACCTTTTGTTATTAATTTTGTTTTTCTTGCTGAAACACATGGACTCCACTCAGTACCGTGTAGATCTCATAAACAGAAGTATGCACAACTTCATTTCAAAGAAAGTGTCTAAAAGCCATTTTWCAAAAAAGAAAACTACAAAAAAACGAACAAAAAAGGAAAAGAAAAGAAAACTTGAAACCAGACAGTGGGTACCGTGTGTTCAGTAGTTGAGGATGAAAAACGTCTCGAGCCCTTCGTTTTTTTATTGCACAGTCGCATTTCTCGGACTGTAGATTCGTGTACAGATTTTCCGTGCCAAATTTTGTGCTAATTTTTCCTCTGCCCCTCCCCCTCCCCCATGAAACATGCTGTAGGGAATTTCTTTTCTGTTCTGTTGTCGTTTGTTTTTATTTTCTTTTGATACCATTCTTTGCTGTGACGTTACATAGATTGCTATGTATGTAGTATAAATGTTGCTATAACAAATGTGTTTGGTAGCAAATTGTCAAATATTAAAATTAATAAAAAGACGGACATCATACTGTATAAACCCACAAGGGCCAAATTATGTATATTAGGAGGTTCATAAAAAAACTTATTAAATACAAAAAAATACACAAACTGCCACTTTTAAGTACACTACTACATATAGGTAGAAAAAAATAGGCATGTTGATGTTGCAAGAGGCTGTACAAAAAAGCTACAAGAGAATCATCCACTCGGTGCCATTGTAGTTGACATGACGCGACTGTAACCTGTCGATTTCTTCTCTGGTTTATTAAGATGCTAATGATAAATAGTTTGAATGTTTCCTTAACGGCTGTGATGTTCCTGTTCTATTTTATGCTCTTATCTTTTCGTTTGTTCGTTTCTCCTGTTGTTTTAAATGGTTCTAAAACCATGTTTTTGTAATGAATAAATGTTTATGCTGTACAGTCTCTGTAGCATGCAGTTCTGTATTAATAAAAGCAACTTAGTATGTGCACATCTGTGTTTTATTTATTTTATCAGATCAAGTTGTTAGCCCGAGTGCCCAAAGCTTTAATCTTGGTATTGTCATCAGTTTTTTTTTATTTTTTATTTTATTTATTTATTTTTTTTGGGTACACTCACTCAAAGTCAGGGATTCTGTAGAAATATTGATTGGCATGTGGCTAATCAGCTGTACCAACCAGTTGGTTATGACCAGGGGTGGGCACAGTTCCCCTAAAGCACTAAAGCACTAATAAGGGAACTAATTTCCCGATTAGTGATTTAGGGCTTTTTGCTAATTTTAAAATTTATTAGTGGATTAGCACTTGTGAAATTTAGAAGCACTAACTCAGGTCTRTAAATGTTATTGATCAACATTATTGTTAACAGCTGAGGGTGAAAACTGTCCCACATTTTGTTCAGATGTGTGTCACTTATTCACTAGGTGACAATATATTGACAATATATGAACCCAAATATGGCTGTGGAATGTCCTTGATAAGTCTTAAGAGAGCAACTTGGCAACACGTGACTCATGTTGTCTGTTGAAGAATGTTCATGGGTTGACTGGGTTATTTTAGTGCTTTAGAATTAGTTTCTGCTAAATTTTTCAGTGCGTTAGTGCTTTAGAATTAGGGAACCTAAATATTTGAGTTAGTACTTTAGGGCTAGTGGAACTAATTTTTAGATTAGTGCTGCTCACCACTGGTAACGATCATCTCTGCTACCAAGTTGAGGTTGCGGAAACCTTTTTGCTCTCGATCAAGCACAACGAAGAGACCGAGCACAGCCGCAAGACATCAGACTGAAGTTCCAAGACGCGTTGCTTAAGTTTCTAAAGAAGTGCAAAGAAATCCCCAACATTGAGGACCAGTGGCCGGCCACTGAAACCCAGACTCATCATTCTTGCATCCCTTCAAACCTGGAATGTCCAGCAGTTCCATCAGCTCAGAACCAGCAGGAATTTGTCTGATCCAGGAACACCCATCTATCGTCTGAAGTGGTCTGCTTGGAAGAAGTGTACCCCAAAAACACCCACAAAGATCTGTTGTGTGAATAAAGCAGAGACTTGCACACAGAATCTGAACTGAGGTGCAAACATATGGCAGCAGGTACTCACGTCTGATGAGGCAAGATTACAAACGTTTGTAGCAGAGAGCAGTTCTCCAAAGATCCGGACAACAGTGAAGATGGATGAGGTCGCTTGCAAGTTTGGGACAGTTGGTTATTCGGTCAGGATTAATGAGGCCCTTGATGCTGAGAAAAATAAATACCAAACACTGTCAAAGAAGTGTCTGGTTAAAACTGTCACGCAGTGAAGAAAAAAAAAAAAACAATCTTGTTCAATTTGTAATTTTTGTCAACACCAAGTCTTAGTTTCCAGCATGGACATGTTCCAATCAGACCTGGACTAATCTGGAAAAATATCAACATATAGTCCTAGTTAATATAATTTACAATGAATCCCTGATGATATCTGACTAAAAAAATATTTTGGTTTTGCTGCTACTGAGGAATTGAAGATGATCAACTTTTCATCCAAGCAACATCTGAAGAGACTAAGGAGTTGATAAATGAGGACTAGGGGTCAGTACAGTGGGGGAAGGCAGCTGTACTGGGACAGTTACTGCACTGTACAAGTGAAATCTGTAACACAGCAAAGATTCTTACTGGCATTAAACAGAAAAATGACTTGCAGACAAAAATGTTATTCAAATCGTCTGTTCTGTAATCATGTGTCCTAAATAGTAAGCTGGGAGGTGCARTGATTAAATTAATCTTTTTTTAAGTTGTCCATTTTGTCTCAATCTTGTTAAACGATGCTGTATCACAGCTACAGACTTTCAGAAGTTACTTTGTCATCCAGTCTTGGCTAGCTGTCCTTGTACTCATGTTCTTATGTTGTCCTGATATTCTGATTGTGGAATATAGAATAAGAGGATGGAATCCTGTTGCCCACATTTGTGTAATCTGATGATGGGCTAATCTCCTGACATGTTGTCTTGGCTCTTCCATGCTGAAGCATTCTTGTACCTCATCAATCTCTAGGTGCAATCAACATGTTTCTCTTTACTGTGTAACWAATAGGGTTGGGCGATATTGGCAAAATAATTRATCACAAATAATTGTGGTATTTAGCAGATAACGATTATATGACAATTAATCCCCTGGATGCCCTCATATCCTAGTCACATGACCAAATAAAATCACTCTAGTGGGAAAGATTTGCTCTCTGTAAAAATCTGTTCCAAATTGTGTCCAAAGTACAGACTTCAGGCTATACATATAATTTTAAATTGTGTTGACAGACCAAGTAAAACCAGAGTTATGATAAATAAATTACAGAACTTTTTTAAAAAAATGTTAGTCACATTTGAAGCAGAAAGGAGACTTGAGTGGACTGACCACGGAAATGTCCAGTCAGTCTGCCTGGTGGTATTAATCTTAAAGTGCCAAAAAAAAAAAAGATTAAAGTTTTTCTGATGATTTATTGTACACGATACGATTTTGCCCAACCTTAGTAAGTATTGACCCTGAGATTTGAATTTTGAACTCCTGATCTTCCTGCACCAAAGTCATGTGTCTTAACAGAGCTAACTCTCGCTCATTCAAAGCTTTTACTCCCCCGAGTTTAGCTAATTAATAATTCAAAAGTGAAGAAATCTTTTTCAGGTTAAATCTAATTAACGTCTCTGTATGGTGTTTTCTTTACATTGTAAYGCCAAAGTTGACAGAGTTTTTGTTTCACCCTGAGCTAATTAGACATAAAAATGGCCGGGGAAGATTTTGACCTTAACTTTTTTAGTCCTAAAGTTTAGCTTGCAGTGTTCCTGATGGAGACTGGAGACCTGTCCAGGTGTCTCTGGTGAACTGGAGACCTGTCCAGCTGTCTCTGGTGAACTGGAGACCTGTCCAAGTGTCTCTGGTGAACTGGAGACCTGTCCAAGTGTCTCCGGTGAACTGGAGACATGTCCAAGTGTCTCTGGTGAACTGGAGACCTGTCCAGGTGTCTCTGGTGAACTGGAGACCTGTCCAGGTATCCCCTGCCTTCACCCAAAGGCAGCTAGGACAGGTTCCAGTCCCACCCTGACCCTGATTAGGAACAAGGAGGACAGGAGGAGGATTTTTCTTTATAGCAGGAAACATACATTTAATTATAAAACAGGATTTATTTTATGTTAATCTGAATCAGTTTAGTGTTGTTTGTAAATATATTTGACAGATTTGTAGGAATGAACACGTTTGTAATGTTTGTTCAAAATAAACCTGTATCTTATGACTTCTGTAACATGTTTTGAATAAAATATCATCAGTAAAAACCTCATCATGTCCTTTCTAAGAATTATTAGAACTAGAAGAATTTTAACTCAGCAGAGTTTCTCCCAGGATTGTTTTTAACCGTGGTGGTGACCTCTCATGTGGGGGTTTGACAAAATCTGGTTGTCCTCAAAACATTTTGGTTGTCCAAAAAATATCTCAATAAAAATATAATTTAATAAGTAGGCTAAATTGTTCTGTATACAAATGTTCTCAGTCAGCAGGTTGACAGTTTTAGGAGCTGCTTGAGGAGAACTTCCTCATTCTCCTCCTCATCTTCTTCTTTGAAATAGAGATAAAAAAACAACATCCATGAGCTTTCTGCTTACAGGTCAAACATTTTTATTTAAATAGGAGTAAACTGTGTACTTATTAAAAGTTACAGTTTAGTGTTCTTAGGACTGAAGACTTTCTGAGGAAAGAAGTTTTTAAACATCTTTTCTATAATTTTAGTGTTTTCAACTTAGGAGCTTGGATATATTTATTTAAAAAAATTATAGCAGAGGAAGTTCTCTGCACAGAATTTTTTTTCTGTTTTTTAATCAAACTGACTAGTTTCTCCAGTAAAATGATTGTGTAATTTAAAGGCATTGAAACACCTGGTTAAATTTAGAAGATATTATGATTAACTACAAACATCTGAAGCTGACTCAGAGAACTCTGTGATTTTAGAAAAATAAAACTCAAATGTAGACACGTCTTTAAAAGACACACCCCCCCCTCCAGCTGCTGTAAAGTCGCTGCCCCTCGCTTTAAAAACAGTCAGCTGATCCGTCGCGGTTTTGTTGCGCTCGTGACGTGAACACATGGGAGCAAATGCTGCGAAGTGCTTATAGAAATATAATATATAAAATACGACGTAATCCTCGGTGGAAAATAGTCCAGGAAACGTGTGCGTTCCCGGGAGGTGTTCACCTGCAGCTGCGTGAAGCTGACCCCCCACCCGCAGAGAAAGAAAAAAAGGCAGTAATTATTGATAAGGTAACCATGCTGTGGCTTCACCTGTCRCACTACCTGTATAATGGTAGGGGAAACACTGGCTTGACTGCAGTTGGTTAAAAAAAACATTTTCACCATCATGAGGAATTGAACCAACAAGCTGAGTAACCACCTGTTTTTGATCCTGAAACGTTTGTTCTACATTTCAGTTTCCTCTTCCATTCTATCAGGTTCATGAGGTTTCTTTCAACTTTGGTGTCTTCCCACTGCAGAATTGGTCACAAGTTATAAAGTACAGACATGTATGGAAAGGTGCGTGGTTTCGTTGGCAGGACGAGCAGCCCTCCTTGGATAAAAGTAGGGGAAAACGTTGAATTTCTTTTAGTAATCCAAGCTTTGCTAGTATGCAAACACTACAAAAAGGTTTCTGATTACAGCGTGTATATTGATTTCTGACCACATCCTTAAAAAATGGTATTCAAACATTTTTTTTGGGTACTCTAATTTCCTCCCACAGACCAAAAGCATGCCTGTTAAGTTAAATAATTCTAAATTGTTCTCAGGCAAGAGTGGGAATGATAGATTTTCTACGTGTCYCTGTGATGGACTTATGACCTGTTCAGGGTGTCCCCTTACACCAACCAGCACCAGCTCCTTGTCACCTAGAGAGGAGAAGCAGGTAAAGAGGATGGATCAGTTAAGTAAATGCGTGATTTACTTATTTCTCTTTGAGTGTATACAGTATGCTGATTGTAG